GAAGGAGAATCAATTGCTATTGCAGAGAGCGGTAGCTTCCAAGCAGAACTATGGTGGGAAGCCCAATCTCAGAAAAACAAGACTGTTCATGGAAATAGCACACCCTTTTGAGAAAGTTTCTTGGAATGCCATGCCATGTTTCTGAGATTATAGATCAGTGATCTTCTAATTTTCTCAATTTACACTTGACAGTCTGTAATATTCCCTGGGATGGGGAGGCTGTCAGGGTTACTTAGTGCGCTCTATCATTTTGCTGGACTAAGCAGGCAGGCTGTGGTGAAGTGACAGCACAGCTGGGAGACTTGACAACAAATCAGTCCTCTAACGGTCCTTGGAGTAGTTCCCTTGTAAACACTGGAGATAGATACAAATGGGAATTGTTGGGGATGCTGTAACTGTTAATGACGAACAGGCTTGAAGGATGGAAGCTGTCTCCAGCAGTATTCCATTTGCTCCGATTACTGTTATTTTTAAAGCACTTTTAATTAGAAGCATGCATGAAAATTAAGACAGATATAACCCAAAGCCACAAAAACCAACCCAAAACCACAAACCCAATCTGTGGTTCTGCTCCCCTGTCCCAGTTAGCAGAGGCAGTGTAAGGCCCAGTTCTCTGTGTAACTCCATTTGTTTTAAGCCTTAGTCACAATGTGGAAGTCTGAGCTGATTGGAATGGAATCCTGATTTAGCCTGGCCATTGCAGACAGGGTTCCTGCTCCCATGCACCTTTAAGTGCTGTTTTTCTTTCTCTCCAAAGTGGCTGTCAGTGTTTGTATTTTGTGGCTGCATTCAGCCATAACAGTACTGATATCCTGCCTACACCAGGGACTTCCTAAGGTAGCACAAAGGCCAAGAGCAGCCTGTGGTGCCATATATCACAACTTAGGTTGCACTCCAGCACTCTTTGTGTGTGTATGAGATTAGTAGTGCTGCTGGTAGAGACTAATAATTCTTATAGGTGAGAGTCTTGAGTTTAGTATTGCTCTTTAGGGCATTGTTTACTTCCATTGCTGTTACAGGATTGACTCCATAAATACAAACAATTAGAAAACATGATTTGATCTTATTTTTGATTGTATGTGTTTATACGTGCAAATTTGTGTTGCTGTTGGTTCAGGCTGTAGGTTCAGGCTCTTCTTGAGTTTTCAACTTTCACAAGTTTTCACTGTGATCCCTTTGTGCTGCAAATCTGAGATACCGGATTTTGCATTTGTCTGGAGTAAGGAACAATATCCAGAAACCAATTTACTGGTCTCAAAACAGTATAGATCTAGGTTTAGGGGAACTTCATGGGAGATACTAACTCATCAAGGAGCAACAGGTGAAAAGAAATGTAAGAATTAAGATTGCCTTCTTGTGATGCTGCAGAGCTATTTTAAACAAAAAAACCTGGTAGAATACTACAGCTGACAAATTGCTGGTCTGAAGAGTAGAGATGGAAAAGACTTGGTAAAGTATTCAGTACATTTTCTTGATAAAGCAGTGCTTGTTTCTAAATCACTTTCATTTCTACTCTTCAATCCAGACTAATTTTGATGTTCACTGCTTCCTAATTGTAATTATTTGCAGCCTGCCACAGTCTCTCCAGGAAAATAAAAGTATTTTTGTGGCCAAGGCAGGAGACTGCGGCTCAAGAGATTGAATTTTTATTTTCTGACTCTGCATTAGGCTTTGTGAGGGCTCAGAAGCCTTCTTCTGAACAGGAATCATGAGGTTCCCTTGCCACTTTCTCACCTAGATTTCAAATGTGTTTAGTCAGGACTTGTCTCTTCCTTTTAAATTTAGTTGAATTTATTTTCTTTCTGTTTCATCTGGAAATAAATTGTGTTAACAAAAGATCTTATCTTAAAGAAAAATCCAATACTTGAGAGGCATCTTAAAACATAACATATTTTATCATAATTAGCCCTCAATGGTGGTAATTCTCCAGAGAACACTAGCTTCCTAAAAACATTAAGGAAAATAATTTACTGTGTCTTCAGCTCAGATCTGGCAATTGGTTCTACAGTTTAAAATTGCAATCCCAGTATCAGCCTAGAAGAGCTGACACTGACCGCTGTGAACTTGATTCTGCAGGCTGCAAAGACTTTTTGTATGGCACAAATTCTCTTTTCACAGTGCCAGATTTTCTCCCTGAGCTGCTTATTTCTTTTCAAGCACACTCATTTCTGAATGTTACTCTGTGTTAAGAAACTACCAAGTTTTATGATCAGATTGTACAGTAAAGCCCATCTCCAACATTATGGGAGTGTAGATTTAAGGGAACATTTGCATGGGAGTAATTTATTGAAGTAAAATAGAATGAGTGGTTGGATGTGAAAAAAACCTCTTCTAAAGAAAAACCTGAAAAAAGGCATACGTGCTCAAGCTGAATTGTTTTAAAATTGTACATGTGGAGGTCTGTTTATTGCTGAAGCTTAGAAGTGCCAGATTGTTTGATATTGCTATTATCTTTCAACTTGAACTATGGATACATACTATATTGTAGTATAGTTAGTGCTAAACCAACAATATGTTATACTGGTGTTTTCAGAAGAGTTCATACATTTACTGTCTATAGCTTTAGAAGAGAGATCCATTGTTTTAAAAGGAAGAGAGAGAACGATTTGTCAAGACGTCTACAAATCAACTATTTGTTTTATGCGGCTGGGTAGTAATGGGTAAGTTGTGCCTCTGAGAAACATTAATAACTCTTTCACACAGAAAACCTGGAAAGAAGCAAAGATAAAATTTGTCTGCCTACCTGAAAAGCTGATTTTTTGTTTGTTTGGGAGTTTTTTGTTTTGTTTTGTTTGTTTGTTTGTTAATTCTCTTTCCATCTGCTAAGTTCATAAATGATCAGAGGTGGCGAAGTTGTCTCAGAACAGTAGACGTATTTGGTATGTGTCAGTTATGGTACAAATAAATTAACACAAGGCATGTTATTTGCAATGTTTTCTTTAAAGTACTAAATAAAGGGGAACAACTATGATATCCAGATTCCTCCCAGGAAAAAGGACATGGGCCACTTTTAAAAAAACAAACAAACAAACAACAAAACCCTGCCTTTGGTTATGTAGCATCAATACTCTTGGGAAATCATTCCATAGTTCTCAAGATACTTTGCCATGAAATGCAATAGGTGAAAACCTTGCAAGCAAATACTGATATGGCTGGTTGGTTCTTGGCAGATAGAATTCAAATGCTGTATCCAAAAAATACAACCTCAATGTTATTCTTACAGGAATACAGAAGTGTACAGAATAGGAACTGCGATAAAATACATTCACATTTATAACCTGAGACAAAATCTGATAGACTGTGAAAGAGCAAATGCTATTGAGAGTTATTGGAAGAAAACATTAGTAGCTTAAATTTCCACTCCTCCCTGAAGTCAGTATGATTAGGCCAACACTGGGAATTTGTATAAATCACATTTTCAAATTTGATATAGAATATGAGCTTTCATTGAGAGATCCGATATGTTCCTTGCCTTCAGTTTGTATAATCAACACTTCATAGTGTGGGTTGGCACTGGCACTGCCTGCTGTCAACAGCCCTGCTTCATTCCTTCTTGTAGTTTTCTCTCTTCAGTCTGGGATGTCAGAAACACTTTATTGATTGTGCATTGGGAAACTTAATATGGTTAAATGGATAATGTCCTATCACAGAACAACAGGTAGTTGAAGGTGAGAGTAGCTAAGTTGATGCTAGTAGAGAAAGAGGTAGGAAGAACAGAAGTAAAGACTGGCCATTCAAATAGGAACAGGCTTCTTTTAACTCTTAGGGGAACATCAGAGAAAAATTACTTAGGAAAACGGTGGAGCATCCATTTCTTCATGTTTTCAAATGAGACAAGATGCCTTTTAGAAGCTGTGTAGTGATGCACAATTTACTAACCTCAGTAATTAGGCAGGAGAGTGAAATCTAGTGGACTGTAATATACAGGAAGTGAGATGAACTGCTGAGCCTTTCTGGCCTTTTAATCTGTGTTCTTTAAAATAAATCCATTGTCCATCTTGGCATCTCCTTTTTTGAAGAACAGTTTCAATAACACCAAAGGAAATAAAATGTAAAAATGGATTCATAAGAAGTGTTTCTACCAATTCCTTATTGTGAATCTCTAAAATGCATAAAATATCTGTGGGTAATACATATAAAAGCACGAGGAAAAGACCAAACCACACTAAGGTAGTGTATATGACTATTAAAATGTATCCAGATAGGACCTAATCTAGTGTCTTTTGTAGTCAGCAGAATTCCTATAGTTGGTTCTTGGACATGAATGTTCACCAAATGCAGTCTATTTTGTAAAAAGCCCTTAGGCTTTTTTGGTGGTTCAAAAAAATCAATCTGTCAACACAGTAACCATAGATTTTTTGCACGGTCTTTCATGAAAACTGAACCAGAAACTTAATACCATTCAATTGCCTACCTGAACAGAAGAGCATCTGCAGTGTTGAGTGGTGTGCTCCGAGTATGCAAACTTTTGGAAACTCTGCCTTCACACAGTGGGAGCAGGAAATTCCTGTTTTTTTTACAGGGGTTCTGATGAAGTCTCTATATGGTCAACACTCAACATTCTCCCTGTGTTGAAGTGTTGCTAGTCACATAATGTCACTGGTGGTTCTGTAACTCCATCTCTTTTTTCCATTCTCTTAATTTATCCCTTGCTGAGTGAAGCAAGAAAATATAACAATTAAAAAGGGATTATATTTCTTAAATTCTGGGAAATGCATATTAGAATTAATAATTCCTCATTTCTGTGGGACAGTGAGTCTTTAAAGATTTTGTGACCTGGAGTGTACAAACCATTTTTTTCTCTAGCGTGGTAGATTTGTCAATTCTGAAGATTTCATCCAACCTCTTAGTAATGTTTTATTCTGAATTGTAAATTGTAAGTTTCTGAATTACAGATTTCTCATATTTTAATCTATATTTACCTAAGAAGTTGAGCCAGTATTTATAATATATTTATAAATATATTTATATTTGTGGTTTGTTCTTGGTGGATGTTGCAGGTAATGGCAAACATGTGCAGTGGCTACGTGGGAAGGATGGTGAGGTCTGGGTCTGGGTTATGGGAGAAGCCCCAGGCGACAAGCCATATGAACAGATATCAGAGGAGCTAATAGCAGAGCAAGCCAGGCAACAAGCCCAGAAGGAGGCAGAAGAACTCTGGTGAGGATTTAAGAATCTGAATTCTGGGTCTACTTAGCATAATGGGAGACGTGGCCTTGTAGAAAGGCGGCAGGTAATGATGGGTAAAACTGGTAAGTGAATCTTTGTTTTCACATGTTTTGGCAATTTTTCAGCACATAAAAATTGTAATTTTATTTTTATCAAATACTGAATAACCAAAACCCTCTTTCACAAAAAAGAGTGAAGCAAATTTTTCTTTTGGGGAATTTTGCTAAACCATTGACCAGTTTATAAATAAATAAAACCAAAACAATCTGGTTTTGAGATGATTAAATTAGAAATGTTTATCACATATCTATGCCCACAGTGGGGATTTGGTACATAAAATCCTTTTTGAAATTATTTCTATTTGCATATTGCTTGTATTAATTCTTATCCCAACAGTTCAAAAACTGATTACACAAAGTGCCATGCTTGTGTTTCCACCTGGGCCTCTTCCTGCTTTGGGATAGATTAAAAAGTGGTGATGCTTGATATTGTTAGGATGTGCCACCTGCCTCCTGCACTTCCTTTTGTAGTGCTGTTCTGAAAGGTGACAGTTTAAATATTAGATTATTCTATATTATTCCATTTCGTATGAGATTCTTGTTGCTTATAGTGATTGCATATTCAAAGCTTCAATGTGTGCTCTGTGTTCCTTTTACATTGCCAGTAGTAATAAAGAATCTAGTGTAAGAATTTGGCAGACATTTGCATTGATATCTGAGAGACAATAAATTCCCAATCATGCTTTGCTAGATTGACAGAAAAATACATCTTTTTCAGACAGGTAAGGAAAAATGTAGGGTATGACTCAAAGACATTCAAGAAGCACTTGGTGCTATTTTAATTAGTCATTTATCAAAAACTGAAAATGTCTGCTTTCTGGATAGTTTCTTCAAATCTGATTTGTGGTAGGCCTCTTGGTAAATGCATTTTAATTTTTTCCTTGTATATTTCTATGAAGTCTTATGCTAATTATTTGCTGCAACCAGTGAGCAAGTATTGATCCTCAATTAAAAAATAAAATTAGTGTCTTAAATTATTTTTGTTTTCAAATTATTTTCTGAAGGAGACAAAAGGAGGCTGAAATTACAAAGAAATTCCGGGATGCTATGGCTCAAGAAAAAGCCAGAATAGTGGCAGAAAAATGGAAAATAGAAATAGAAGATCGGAAAGCTGCCAAAGTAGAGGAGGAAAAAATTCAGGAGGAACTGAAGGTTTGCATAGAGTAATTTAGCTTTTTGTATAGTGTTTTTATATAGATTCAAATTTCTTGTCACCTTCAGTGCATGTTTATTAATAAGCTTTAAAACCAGAGTTGTAAATTTTCATCCTGGAATATACAAATAGCTACATGGTGTTCACCAGAACAGCTGGGTGAGTAATGCAAAAAATTTGCATCTCATTCAAAAGTGTCAGGACAATCAAACTGGTTATTCAGCTCACACATTAACAGAATTGTTCAGTGAGCTGTGCTGAGTGAATCTTACTGGGGAAAAAAATGTACAGCTGTGAAATGTCTCATTTTAAGTTACTTTGCTTGAACATATTTTGTGTATCTTGGATGAGTTGTTCACATATATAACTTGAAAATTCTGTCACTACTTTCTTTAAGATAATGAGGGGTGGAACCTTCTCCTAGTCAACATATGGCAAAAGTCCAGTTGGCTTTATTGGGAGAAGTTAATTTGCCTGATTTTTATTGATTTCATCATGAATGTTCTATGGGCTCTCAGTTACAGTACTTTAACATTTGCTTAAAATAATAATTCTTTTCACATTCTCTTATCAAAAATAACAATTTGAAAACTAAACAGGAAAAGAAGGCCTCTGTCTATCCCTTTTCATGTTACTTTATAGAGATAAAAACTTGTTTAAAATGAGAAAAAAACATGGTTTAGTGTGCAGAGAAATTATCACAGTCTTCTGAGTCTGGGATGTGCATTCTGGGTCTAAACAAGATTGGTGATGCTGGGTTTCCATGGAGAAAGCCTGTAGCAAAATATGACTCCTAGGAGATCTGCATCCCATAACTTTTGTCTGTATGCCTTTCCCCTGATGACAGCTTGTTATGTCATTTCTCCCTTCCTTGGACAGTGATTAAAGGTGTGGATAGTACAGATGGACTCCCCCTTTGTTCCTCTGTGGTGGAAGGAATGCTGAAAAACTCTGTTAAATTTATATTTCGATTACAAACTAGAGTCATCAGCTCATTCTATAAACTGTGGGTCTTGCATATGAGGGTGGTTACATAGCACAAAGCAAGGGCAGTTCCTGTAGCCTCTGCACAAAGCTGCTGGTTTACCTTTGCACAATTAATTTGAATTCATAGGAGAGAACAGAGCCTTTGAGATTTGGTGTCAATGAGTAATGAAACTATACCTTTCAAGTACTTTATTAATGTATGAATAATGAGCATAGCAACTAATTAAAACACTTTTTCCTCTGCTTTCCAGAAAGCAAAGCCCTCTTGAACAAAGACTGATACACTGTTTGCTTGCATCTCTGTGGTTGATTTACAGTGCACTTGATGGGGTAAATGTCCAAAAGCTCACTGTTACTATTCTGTTTCAAAAAGAATTTTTCAAAAGCAGAGTGAGCAACTTCTGAGAATTTCAGTGTCCAGCAGTCATAATTTTCTATTAAGGAAAACTAGTCTTTCAGTTGTTGATACAGTTTTAAAGGAATGGTACCAAATTCTGCTCATTTTCATATTGATGGAAAGGAAATATTCCAGTGATCTGTGTTCTCACTGTTTCTTGGGAAGGGAGCAGATATTCTCCATCCATGTGCCTGGTAGAAGCAAGAATTGCACTGCTGTAAGTGGGATGAGAATTTGGTTCAGTTTCTACTTTGAATTTCAAATACTAACTTTTGGCTAGGATTTATTTAGCCCTATTCATAAATTAGCCAACATCTTTGTTTTATCAAAGAAACAGAAACCTGTTTTCCCCCATGGTTTCCTTTAAATCAAGCATTTGTAGAGTATTTTTGCAAAAAATTTAGATAAATGGACCAAAATTTTAAAGACAAGACTCATAAGGAATTAATTCTTTGGCTTCAAAAATGAGTTTGGAAACCAGATATTATGTAGTGATTATTTTTCAAATGCCCTTTTATTGTGTGTGCTCCTGGCATTTGTTGTATTAATACAATATGGTCCAATTATTCTTACAGCCCTGGGTCTTCAATTAGGTCTATAATTTGAGATCTGTTAAGAGGGACTTGGATTAACGTAGGGTTCCACCAGCAGAAATCCATGCAAGATTGATTGCTTGCACTACAACAACACACCTTTGCTACTCAGAAAAGCAGCTTATCTATTACTGGGTCTTGAAAGAGCAGATCTTGTACAAAGTGCTGTAGAACTGCTTAAAAGCAGTAAAAGCATTTCAAAACAAGTGAATCTCACGGGCTAATACGGGGGAATTGTTAACTTCTCTGTTCACTAATTTAAGATCACTTGGCTTTCCTTCTCTGTCCAATTTTACTCTTTTTGTAACTACTCTTGTGTAGTGGAAGAACATGAAATATTTACAAGTTGAATGAGTGGAAAGGTACTTAGACAGGAAAACAGGAAAGTCATGTTTCTGGCATCTACCTTCAACTACAAAAAGTGAATAGAAATAAGGTGTTGGGGCAAAGATGAATTACTGAATTTACTCATGTATGACTGCAGTCATTGAAATAATGAAGAAATGTACCCTTCATAAATGATTCAGGGTATGTAATGAGATGCAGATCAGTTAGCAAGCCCACTTTAACAGGTTTAAAATATTTAATGCGTTGGTAATCATCTTTCTGTGATGATGACCAGACTATGTTTAAAGCAGTCTCCAAACTGGGCTATGAAAAGTTGAGCATCTGCTAATGCTTCATTCTCTTGAAGCATTTTGACTTGGGAGATTGAAACTCTCTCCTTTCTGCTGATGTGTTTAATTTCTAACCATATTGTATCACAAGCACTCCTTTTTAAAACACTTTTATTCCTCTTGACCTATCATGGGACTTTAGGGCTGTCTTCACTAGTAAATGATATCTCACACATCAAAGTGAATGATGATCCCTGTTTCCTCTTCCAACACTATTAGAAAAGTATTGTTTTCCTTGGTGTTGCTTAAGCAGAAATTCCTTTAATTTATTATGCTAGAATATAAATGTTGACTGATCTATTTCTGCAGTTTAAGGACAGCTATTCTTTTATGCACCTATTGCAAAGGACAAATAAGAGAGTCAATTACTATCATTAATCTTTTTGCTAATTCACAAAGGCTGTGAGATGATAGGCATAATTGCCTACTGTTATTAGTTGTTGTCATTAAGAGTCTTGTACAATGTGCAGAGCTAGGGCAGATTAGAGGTATGAGTGTCAGCTAACCAGGGGTGGATGGTATCCTTCAGCTACATTTAGAAATAAGAGAGACTCAGCTCGCTCTTCTACATGAAGCAAGTGATTATTAATAGTAAAGTGCTATCTGTAGGACAACACCAGATACCTGCCAAATTTAATAATATAAGCATGATTGACAGTAAAGCTATATTACTTCTTAAAAAAATCCTTCATAGATTAAATGTGTGCTAAACAAGAGCTGCATAAAAACTGCATCAGTGGGCATTTTAATGAGAATGAAACTTGAGAAATAATCCTTATTATCTTGAGTGGCAACAGGAGAGTAACAGTGCATTATAATTTGCTTCCACAATTTATTTTTGGGGGTGCAAGTTCATAATTTTTAATTCCAGTTGGGATTGTGGTGAATGAAGTGAGTTTTTTAAGATGTAGATCTAGGAGTTTCTGTGTCCTGGCTATTTCCATTCTCATCAAAGATGACAGGTTTAGAAATCAACCTTCAGAGAAGAACAGAATAATTAGTGCTTCAGTTCAGAAAGTATCTAATAATGACAGTTTATGCTTAATAGAAAGAACACACTTCAGTCTATTGAGTTGGATGGGCCTTCAACACATGCCTGAGTTCCCTAGTCTGCGCAGAAGTGCTGTGGACCTGATTCTTCAGACAATTGCTGCAGAGTTTAGGAATACAGTAATATGTCACCATCACCACTTACAGTACTGTGGGCTGCTTATGATTACGTTGGAAAAGACTTTGAAGGTCACCTGGCCCAACCATTAACCCAACATTAACAGTTCCCAACTACACCACATCCCTAAGTGCTATGTCTTAAGCACTAACACCTCCAGGGATGAGGACTCCACCACCTCCCTGGGCAGCCCATTCCAATGCCCAACAACCCATTCTGTAAAGAAACCCAGTCTAAACCTTCTCTGGTGCAATTTAAGGCCATTACCTCCTGTCCTATCATTTACTACTTGTTAAATAGACTCATCCCCAGCTCTCTGCAACCTCCTTTCAGGTAGCTGTAGAGGGCAATGAGGTCTCCCCTCAGCCTCCTCTTCTCCAGACTAAACAACCCTAGTTCCCTCAGCCACTCCTCGTATGACCTGTGCTCCAGACCCTTCACCAGCTTCGTTGACCTTCTTTGGACACACTCAAGTAATTCAATGTCCTTTTTGTAGTGAGGGGCCCAAAACTGAACACAGTTATCAAGGTGCAGCCTCACCAGTGCCAACTACAGGGGCAAGATCCCTTCCCTGTCCCTGCTGGCCATGCCATTTCTGACACAAGCCAGGATGCCATTGGACTTCTTGGCCACCTGGGCACACTTCTGGCTCCTGTTCAGCTGGCTGTCAGTCAGCACCCCCAGGTCCCTCTCTGACTGGCAGCTCTCCAGCCACTCCTCCCCAAGCCTGTAGCAATGCTGGGGGTTGTTGTGGCCCAAGTGCAGCCCCTGGCATTTGGCCTTATTGAAACTCCTACAGTTGGCCTTAGCCCATGGCTCCAGCCTGTCCAGGTCTCTCTGCAGAGCCTCCCTACCATCGAGCAGATCAACTTGGTGTCATCTGCAAAGTGACTCGATCCCCTCGTCTAGATCATCAATAAAGATGTTAAACAGGAGTGGTCCCAAAACCAAGCCCTGGGGAACACCACTCGTGACTGGCTGCCAACTGGATTTAACTCCGTTCACCACAGTGAATGATATAGCAGTGAGCATTCTGTCCTCACCTAAAAAACTCTCATCTCCAGTTGAACATAAAGCACTTGAATGGGCCTGTTATCTTTAAGTAAAAATAAACTCTAAGTTCAGCTCTGTGCCAAGAAAATACTGAACTTTCTCCCAAGGACAGCATATTTAGAATCCAGGAATATGACAACAGCTTCTTGCTGGGATTTGGCACCCAGTTCATTCTGAAAATATCTCAGTTGGGTACATTCAATCATGATTACAATAATTCAGTAATACTTAATTTTGTTTTCTTTTGTGTGACAACAGTTCAGAAATTTTGTATTTCTATGCAGTTGTCTCTTGAACAGTATTAGAAGTAAGGCAACTGTTAGTTTCTGCTGGGAATCAGGTCTTCAGGTTTTTCTATCCTATTTGTGAGGAACTGTGATATAATTTTCAAAGAAAAATATTTTTCCCAGTGACATCAGTAATGATTGTGCTGCTGAAGCCCTGTCTTTATTCTGTATTGCTAGTAAAAACTAGCAAAGCTCTGACATTTTCCATGGGTAAAAGGGAAAATCTGAAACACTAATAAATGATGGTTTGCATATCAGGAATTCAAGCTTTGAAGACCCCCTAAGATCCAAAGGCAAACTTTTAGTAGATTGTCAAGTTAGTCAAGCAGAGTCTGCTCCTACACGTGCAATAAATCTCGGATGTCTCCCAGTAAGTAATAGTCCTTAACTTTGTTTTCTATCTCATCTAAAAGAGAGTCTTTGTGGACCAAAGTATGTTGTTCTCACTTATGAGCCATGTGTGACTAACATGTCCTGGGGCATATCCATGACTGAAATGTAACTGCTACTGCATAAAGCATGACTGCTTTTCGTACATTTGTCTCTGTGAAAATACATGCACAGTGAAGTGATGCAAACCCTGTGTTCCTTTTGAGACACTGGTAATAGAGAAGAAAATAATGCCTCTGCAAACACTTTCTTTTCTGATGCAAGTGAGAGAATTCTCTCCGAAAAAGTTTGGGAAGGAGTTGGACATATTTCTGCTGATACTCACACACAGCTCTGTTGGGTGGGTTTGAGAACTCTGATATCTGAATTCTGCCTGCTGTGTCTGCCTTGCTGAGAGCAGGCTGTCCTGGAGGTGGGGACCCAGAGATGTCCAGATTTTCTTTTTCAGAGCAGGGAATCTCAAGGGCTCAGATCTGAAGACGAGCTGTGCTCTTGGCTCTGTGGCAGGCAGACTGAATATCTGGGCTGGTTCAGGGGTGATTGGTGGGGGATCTCGGGAGTTTCACAGCAGCTGTAATGCAGCCATGAGCTGACTCTTCCTGTCAGCCCGAAGCACTGAAGGAATCCCAGGCATCTTTTGTTTCGAAAAGGGCTGTTGTAACAAATACGTCTCATAGGCTGAGGAGGATGGCAGTCATTCAGCTGCGCTGCATCCCATAAGACTCCCCAGAGAGACACCAAGAGCCATGGCAGCCAGAAGCTCAGTTTTCCATTGTAAAAAAATCAGCTGTTATATTTTGGGTTTTCCTCAGTGCACTTTTTAAATATTTCTGCAGCAAAAACTGAATGCTGACCTAACCTTCACTCATCTGCATTGGACTGAAACATTAGAAGCTAACCATGGCTAATATTAAATATTATTTGGACCTGACTATAGTAAAGCTATCAAATGTTGTGAGGCACACATTTACAGTAACAAGGAACAAGTTCATGGTCAAAGCTCAGCTGCCAGAGGCTAGATGAGATCATTTAGCATGTTCAAATTCTACAGTGGAGTTAAAGCTGGAGAGGAATACCGCTGTCTATTGAATTGCAGGTGTGATTTGTTGCAGCAGGTCGGTGTTTCTTGGCAATTTGCAACTATGTACTGTATTGTCACCTTCCTAATTATTCTGGAAGAGCTGTAAGGGTCATGGCACCCAGTACAATCTCTCTCAACTGTTAGACAGAGGGTGATGTTTGTAGGTTATTACAGCTCTTCACTCTCAGCTCTGCTGTGCAGGATTGGGTTTACAGAGAGAAACAGATAAACTGGTTGCTGTATTCCTGCAGTGGAGTAAATGTGAAAAATTCAGTTGTTATTAATTTTAAATACAAACATGCGTTTTACTCATAGTTGACAAAAGGATGATGTTTCTTTTGTGTGTCATACTCTAACAAGGGTTGTTCCTCCTCACATACAGCTTTAAGGAGTTGTACAATATACTTGCACATGCATCCATGCACTAGTTTGAATAAGTAGAACTTAAATTTTTTCTTTCTTTAAAAAGGAAAATTAAATGAAAAAGTTTTGTGATTTCAGAATCAAATGCCAGCATTGATTGTTGTTGTGGTCTATTCTTTGAATAAATTTCCTTCTCACTAAAAAAAATAAAAAATAAAAATAAAAATAAAAAAATTTCTTTATAGGCATTACTGCTTTCCATTAAGAACTCAAACTGAATTCTAGATTTTACTTTTTGTGGGGGTTTTTAGACACTTTCATCTTGTTTTACTACAAATGCTTCAACAATAGCTACATTTAAAACCAACCCAACCCAACCCAATAAACGTGACAAAACTCTTCTGTGATTCAGAGAAACTGCTGTGAGATTGATCCCCCCCCCCCCC